AAATGATTTAATTATTTTATTATTCGCGAAGTTATCGGGAAACATAGTGTAAAGAAGGTCTATATAGATTATTCATCGATCCTTTATACCTCCAATTTAAACATCCGCGCAAAGCTCGTTTTTCTGATCGACGTTTTACGATCGCTAACTTGCCTTCTATTTCACTCTTTATCTCTTTTGTAATTTCTACCAAAGGGCTGACTTAATGAATCCAAGTATTTCGTAATAATAAAAAAGGATCCTTTATCTGGTCGTTTCTTTCTGTAAAATAATCTCGTAGAAATTTTCATTTAGCAAAGATCTATCCGTTCGTCTGCAAATGTCTATAATTTCTATGTATATTAGTCGTTCAAGTGAGTCATCCGAGCCGTGTATACTCGGTTGGAAAAAAAATCGAACTAGGATAGAGTTGCCACGGTTTCATCTTCCACGAAAACTTTGCGCAGTTCTGATTTACATTATGCGTCGGAGTTTGAGAGACTTTATAATTGGTTGGAATATGTAACCGTGATATTAAAAGGAAGTCTTTCTCGGTTGTAAGCGCTGAAAGACTTTTTTTTTCTTTTAACATTTGCTTGGATTAATTAGAATATCTGCGCAGAATTTTTGTTCAAGTTTTTCTAAAGGAGGATATTAGTGTTAGGATTGTTTCGCACGTTTCTTCTTGCAATGGCAGAAAAGAAGACGAGGAAAATTCAATGACGTTGGGAAACAGCATTGGACAAGCAGGGAGAAGAGAAAGGTATATCGACCACAGAGCAAATTGAACATCGCGGTTAAACGCGAATTCTGCGGTGGCTGACATGTTCTCAAAAGTAAATCCTGTGGTTTACATCCGTGATCGATACGCTTCTCGATTTCCGTTTCACCTCTTTTTTGATTTTTTTTTTCATATCCTACCGATGTATTTACACATATTCATGTATTTGCGTACGCGCGTGTAGAGTATGTACGTCACTCGAAGGCAATCTCATCCTCCTCGTTACGATACCTTTCATTATCAGCAATCGTGAAATAGAAAACGACGATCGTATCTCGATATCGCGAAACGTTACACTTTGCTTGAAACGTAACGAAAATCGATTCTCCTATCCAATCCTTTTTACTTATATTTTTCATTAACCTATATAGTAGTATATACAAACCACCTTGCTATTTAATTCGTTGAAATCGAAATGTTTATAGCTATTTTTCTTGTTGTTATATTTTTTTTTCACTTCGTAACAATGACGATCGTTGACGAGAATAATATTAAATAATAACGAGTAAGCGTTGAAATTTGTCAGGAATTTAATTTGACGATTCTTCACGAATTAAGCATAATGATTTTCATTTATAAATGAATTTGCGATGCGTACATGTAAATTCAATGTACATCTATGTACTCGTTCATTGAATCTCAAATGAAGGGAAATGAGTGAAGGGTAGCACGTTTTAAATGGAAAAAGAGAGTGTAAACGTACGTATTCCAGCAACATGTGAATACTCTGTTTGGTTTGGAAACAGAGGAAATAATAGAAATAGGATAGGATAGGAGAGTAGAAAAATAATCGATGGATAAGAAACGAGAGCTAAATAAGGTAGGGCGCTAGAATAATCGTGCAGTGACATCCCACTAGGGGATGTTGTATCAAGGAGGATGTCGTTTAAGTCGGTGCAGTTTCTATCCACCATTTGGTTGCCAGCTTTTGTTTAACGATTTCGATTAATTTAGTCAGGGCGATAACGGGACGACAACGCGTCGAGGTAAGATGCAATTCGTCGAGCTTTCTTTGATCTCTCTTCCCTCGGAGCTTTACATAAATCCGATTAAATAAAGCGATCGAGGGTAGAACAGAGAGAAGTTGCAAGCTCCTGCCATCTGTCGAAGGATCTCGCAACATTTTTACTCTTAAACGTTATCTTCCAAGTCTCAACCGTCTCACCCTTTTAACGAAAATAATTCTTAGTTTGTCGTCTAACGCGTTTGCCGGTAATAAATAGTTTGATTTTTCTCAAGATCTTTCATTTCCATAAAAGAGGGCTTGAAAAATGTTACGGTCGATCTGTAATTTACGACGCTAGATAAACCAACAAATTTCCCACCGCTTTGCACGAACGATGAAAAGGTTCGCGCGTTCGCTCTTTCATTATAATTGATGTCCTCTTTTAGCCGAGTCAATTTAATTACGATCAAATGTTAGCGTTTATTTTCAAAGAGAATAATTTATTTGAAAAGATATCAAGCTGACGCAACTCACCCTAACGAACACTCGTAAAAACGTGCCACGTTGAATATGCTAGAGAAGACACTTTTCTCTTTCTTTTTTTTTTCTAAAGAAAAAAGCAATCGGTTGATCGATAGGCCGCTCGTTTCCGAAAGTAGGGACGAAGTTTACTCGATGACCACTCGACGAGCACTAGACGGTCACTCGACTACCACTTTCCAACGGACGATTGACTTTTTTTATCCCTTTTATCCCTGGAGCCCTTTAGCAATCCTCATCGCGAAATGCGTGCCTGATACAAGAAGAATTTTCTCGACTACTCTTGGAATTCTTGGCGACTAGGCAAAAAGATAACTACTATTGAAAGAGGACAAGAACAAAACCAACTCGCGATCGTTTTCCACCTCCATCCCAGCATCCCTATGTGGTCTATAGGACGAGTAGAACGTCCGGCGAATACCACAGCAAATTCCAAAAGCCAACTATGGTAGGATCGCGAATTCGATCGCATTCAGGACACACCTTACGTATTCTACTGGGAAATCACGATTCCTTCTATTATTATATTATATATGTGCATCCGCTCGTCAACTTTAGACATTTTTCGATTATCTTCAAATATCATTGATAGATCGTTGAAGATACTTTTTTATTCGCGTTATAAACCTATATATCGTTGATGAAACTTGATGCAGAAAAGTGTAATACTTTTTCATTCGATACCAATTACATGTTAATCGTTAAACGAAGTTAATTACCTTGCTACGCTCAGATTTCACAATGGAAAATGAATTGGAATGTACATTATCTGCGAAAATTCGATCAACGTTCTCGTTAAACATACACCGACGCCACTTGCTGTCGTTTCTATCTATGTGCTGCAACGATCGAATATGTTTCATAATTAGTAAAGCATCATTTTCTTCTGACATTTGAGTTAATGGCTCTTGATTTTGGTGTAAATATCGAAATGGTGTTTCGTTTCCAATAAAAAAAAAAACAAATTTGATAGTTAACGCTTTCGTTTCCATCTATTCGAGGATTTAACGACGAACGTTTTTGCGAAAAATAACGCAAATGGCACTAACCTGGTAGTAACGATCTCTTCTATTTCCGTTAAAGAGTACGTACTAACAAAAATATATGGCTCCTTTCGTACGGTGTCTCGTAAATTTGGACTTTCTTTTTCTAAAGAGAAGTATCAGCATTAATAATGTAAAAGAGAAAGGGAGCGAGTGATATTAAAAAAAATCAAATGTAAAAGAAAGGTAGGAAGATTAGGTTCCATTGAGAAAGAAAGCTAGAATAAGGTATTAAAGTCAGACTTTTTCGTTTTCTAAAAGCCACGTTGAAAGCATGCTCTTTTCTATTTTCTTACATTCCCTTTTCCCTAAGGGTGAACTTCCAAACGCGAAACTATAATCGAGAAATAGAGAAAGAAAGAAAGTCTCGAAAATACTTGTAAGCTAAATTTTCCGCGAACCTAGGAGGATATTCCCATGGCGTGGCATACGAAATCGATTCCCTTTATTCCCTTTTCCCTTTTCTTTGGCCACAGCCGACAAACGCAGAGCGCGTGTACCTTTGATTTACATTTAAACCTAACATCGGGTGATATCTCTTTCACCGTCGCCAAATTTCCTAGGGAAAATAAAAAGTATCGAATTTGTCGAAATGGTTTCTTCCTTTGTAAGAGAATCTAAAATGGAAAACAACATATTAGTACCTACTGTAATATGCAACAACGTCATTTATAAAGCTTCGATTCTTATCGTTGCAAATTTTCTAATCGATTTGCAAACGAAAGTATATACATAGAGCCTTTGTCTCGATTTATTCAGAAGATGGCGAGGGAATTCAAGAGTTCGTCATTTTTCATTATGCATGCGAACACGGAATTCGCTTTTCCTTTCCTTTGTATTCATCGCGGAATATCTTGTTCCTTTTGCGAATGGACCGGCACTTTCGTGTATTCCTTACGAGATAGAAAATACGCTCTTTAATTAAACGACACAATTTTTATCAAATTTCACAATTTAATATATAATAGTACAAGTTCTATTAACAACGAACCGTTCCGATCTATCCGGCAAATACGAAAATGACTTTACCATAATTTATAACTATGTTATACCGTATAATATAATAAATCTAAGAAGAATGAGATCAGCAAAATCGAATATGTCCCAGGGAATGTATTATTTTTCAGGCTATTCGCGAATGAAAGGAAAAGTAGGACACGCGCACGCATACAACTCTAAAGATATCTTCTCTAACGAAAAAGATATTTGTAGAATAATTGCGAACGAGATAGGGTGGTCGAATTCGCGAAATTTCATTGGAAACCACCTTCGGAGTCGATTAGATAAAAAAAAAGAAAGAGAATAAGAAAAGTAGCAGGAAGGACTGGGGGTAGATATCCACCTATCTCGTGGGTGGCATGCGAGGGTGGTTAAAAGCGTTTCGCGGCGAGGAGGCGTCGTCATGGTGATCAGGTTTCCAAGGCATGCGCAGGAGGTGCGCGCGAGCGCATTAGAAGGATCCACGTCGTGCGGTGGAACACAACACGGGTAGCTGCTTTTTCGCGTTGGCACACCCGGGCTCTCTGCTGGCTGGGCGGTGTCTGCAGCCTTCACTTTCCTCCCGAAAATCAAAGGCTACGGGGCTGCTGACCGCCACGTTTTTTTCTTCCTTTTCCTTCCTCTCTTTCTCTCTTTCTCTTTCTCTTTTTCCCTCTATTCTCTTCCTCTCTCTCTCTCTTTTCCTTTCTCACCTTTCTTGTTCATTTATCCTATCCTATTTATCTATCTATCTATCTATCTCTTTTATCTTATCGTACGTTCATTCGATAGCGCGAAAAATCGACACGTGTGTTGAAAAATAAGTAAAGAAGTAATACTGTATAAAGAAAGTAGGAGAGAGGGTGGGGGGTGCATCGTGCATCCTGCAACGAGTGAAAGTGTCGAAGAGATAACCGCGTAAACATCGCGAATCACGTCCTGTGTGTGTGTGTGTGTGCGTGTGTGACGATGACTTTGCTTATCCGCTCGGGGGAATGCTCGGCGGCCTTCTCAAAGTGTGCCTTTTTTAACGTTCGAGAAAGATAGAGGTAGAACAACGGCCGAAATGAGGAAATGCTTTACAACTTGGTTTGAAAAGTATCGTTATCCAGGAGTTCCGCATGATCGAGAATTGAGTTGACCTGATTTCGTCCTTGAACGAATGGAGGATCGATCCTCTACGAGCTTGTGCCTCTCTCTCTCTCTCTTTCTCTTGTATTTCTTTGTTGTTCTCCCTGGACCATCATCTCGTTTCGTTCCATGTTATACGATCCACGATCCACGCACGCACACTTATGAACACGAAATTTTCTAAAGGATAACTTTTAGTTATTCTGGTTGAACCCGATGATTGTTTACCACTGCCAAATCCGCTCGATTTATTCTCGGGTATTCTTTTGAAGAAGGTACGTAAATCTCTCTCTCTCTCTCTCTCTTTCTCACACACACACACACACATACGTTTATTCGATGGATGATACTCTCCGAGCCTCGAGTATTACGTTTCATAGACACGCGGACTAGCTGTCCAAATCGTTGAAAAATAGAGCGAGTTTTGTAACTGACGCGATAAATTACTACTTGACCATGCCAGAGTCTATCTCTGTTTCGCTATCCTTCGTCATTTTCCAGCAACGGTGGGGGAAACCTGGCTCGGTCCACTCGAGTCACACTCGAGGTGCATCAATTCGATGTATCAACCGATTTAATGGAAGATTATTCTTTTTATTTCCCTTTATTCTCTCTCCCGTACGATAAATAGAATCCTCCTGTAAACCAACCGATTAATTATTATCTCTAATAAACTTTGCTATTCTACGAGGTAGATCGCGTCGTCGTTAAATACACACACGCGAAACTTGCTAACGCTTTTGCATCGATATACAAGCGAATTTACGTTTGTAAATATTTGATGAGTCGAGAGTGGTAGCGGCTCAAAATAATCTACATGAGTTGACAAAAGTATCGTAAATTGAAGCGTATAATGATTATAAAGCATTGATCTCCGTAATAGCTAGTTTGTTTTTTTCTCTTTTATTATTCTTTATCATCGCTCGTTCGTATTTATTTAGGACTTTATGGATTTGCAGAAAGCGTTCTTTCATCTTAATATAAATAATATATATTAAGTCGATTGGCAAGCATCAATTCACGTACGAGGGTAGAAAAAAGGAAGCTTAGCGATACGATCGGAGAAAACAATTCCTTCAGGCAGCTTTATCGAGATTCCTTTAAAGCGCAGGAAGCTGAGGCATCTTTTGTTTACTTGACTCTGACGAGAACAGAACCGCTGACGATTATGGCACAGCTTCAAGCCATGACCTGCGGTTACCTCTTGCGACCCTCCAACCTGACCATTATGCACTTCCTTCCGCAACTTTCTACTATCTATTTTTTTTTCTTTCATACGGTTATTTCCATCTCGTTATATTTCATTCGCAAGAGTTAGCCACAAGTTCGGACACGTTTACATATTCTCGCATTTTCTTTTATCGACCAAAACAAGCTTTATAAGTTTTTTCTTTTTAACGAATTTCAATTTGCTATTGATTTCATATATGTAGCTAAACGAGTTTTTTTTCCATCATCCTCGTTTTAATATCGAGTATCGGACATCCGAAATACTTATTTTCAATTTTATTTATCTCTTCTTTTCATGCACGATCGAACTCACGTATTCCGGTATTTATCGCAAAAATCCTTTCCTTTTTCTCAAATAGATTGCCAGAAAAATCGTCGTAACGGTAATCAAGGTTTATCGTTCGATCCTGTGTTTAACCTTTTATTTTAAATATTTCAATAATTTTTCATCTCGCGACCTTTTTCTCTGTGCATATATGTTAGTTCTATACAACATACCTAGGCATAGAATTTGTCGTCGAGGAAAAAGGGAAAAAAAATTGTGTTAATCTTCTCGTTGGAAATACATTCTGGCATGGAAAAAAAGTTTGCGTGCCAGCTGTGACTCACTTTTCGAGTCCCCCTTCGCAACGAGAATGTGGAATGTAGGTTCCCTCTTGGTTAATATCGCGGTCAGTGGAAACGCGTTAGAGACTATTGATGCTTTATCACCCAATTCTTATCGACCATGTCAATGTATTCGATGCGATACCAAAAGAAAAAAAAGTATAAAATAAGAAAAAAAAAAGATATCAACCTTGGGGTAAGTTGTTCTCTCGTAGATCCCGATAACGAGTTTACCGATAACTAACGTCGTCCGATCAATTTAACGTCGAATTGTTGAAAACGAAGGATCCTCTTAACGATAAAGAACATTCTCACATTTTTCTTTTATATTATCCTTTACTTTTATGTAAAATGTAAAAAGCATTTTTCCAACAACTAATTGTTTACATTGGAATTTTATTTTTCTGTTACACCGTGATGGAAATCAAAGTATCTCTTTAATGTCAAAGGAAAAGTTTCAATGGAGTTTCGTTGGAGAATAAAGAAAAAATAGAAAAAGAGTTCTGATCGAAGGGACAACAAAGATATAGTACGTTTTCAACGAAGAAGAGTAACGAGCAAGAAGGAGTAATTTAATGCTTGCCATTTGTCATCTCGCACTTTCCGCGAGCGAGCTGTGTTTAATTACGTCGTTTTTAGAGACGGCGTTAAACCGAGGACAGTATTCTCTCTCTCTCTCTCTCTTTCTCTTCTTGTATAATACGAGAAAAATTGTCGCGATTTGATAAAAGATAAAAAGAATTGAAAAAAATAATAAAAATGAAAGAGTTGGGAGATGCGCTAATAGTAAAAGAGAGTAGCTGTGATGAAACCAAATGAAAACGTTTCATTTTTCTTATTATTATATTTCATTTGGGTGGAAAATCGATCATCGATTTAATGCGGACTCGTAAATCAAAGGAATTTAATTAACTTTGCCCAGTGTACACTTTTAATCGAGGTCGAATTTCATTTTCGCTTCAAACGGCAACGAAAAAAAAAAGAAAAAAAGAAAAAAGGGGTTAGGTGGCCTTCAAGAGGGGAGGAGGATTCGTTATCTCTTTCTTTCTTTCTTTCCTCAATTTTAGATTCTCGCGAAAGCATCGTCGCGATCGACTTTTCACCGAACAATCTTATCAAAACTATCTTGAAATTCTGTCAAAGAAAAAAACGTCGGAAATGAGTATGAAGTTTTACTTTGGCGAAGGCACGTGGATAAAGTTAGAGTAAATAAAAGAAAAGAATTAGTAACGATTAAGAGAAAGTTTGAAATGATTTTGTAGAGTACTACGATTGCTTAGAAAGTCTTTTCTCTTTTCTTTCCTCTAAATCATCAAAGTAGATATTTTTCTTAGGTGTTATCGCATAGAAAACTCGGTTGTTCGCCAATGACGTAGATATCATCTATCTGCTTCGATTCTGACAAGCTCTCGTGAGAAACTTTAACTTAATAATAGCTGGACAAGCTACTCAAAGTACCGAGGTACCAGTATAGACGCTCTTATTAAAACATCGGCTTCGTGCACTTCACAAAATTGATTTAACTCTTAAACAGGAACGCGTTCTACCGCCAGCACCATATATATAAATATATGAGTGGAGTTTGGTGAAAATTTTTTCCTCTGAAAAATAAACGCTGATTAAACTTTTCTTTTTTACCGCGCGTGCAAACACAATGTGTTTAATAATAGGGTTTGAGGTGTCGAGGGAGAAAAAAAGAAATGAAAAAGAAAATAGATGGCCAAAACGTTGCTAGCGTTTTTTCTCAATAATCGAAGAAGCTCCTCTTTTTTCAAAGGACTCCATCGAGAGAAATGCTAGCTCCGATTTCTATTCTTTACGCAACTTCCTAAGGGAGGGGAAAAAAAGGTTCCCTTCTGATAATCGAACTCGACACTCGATCATTCTTGATCGTAGGAAGAATTCGAAAAAGGAATAAGGAAAGCAACAGTCAGGAATGTTTAGTACTTTTTCTTCTTCTAGCTTGTCAATGAAATAATACTTGCTCGTAAATTACCAATTGCCATTTATCATTGCCTTCGTTTTTTATTATCTTTGATATTCCTTCGCACAAATTAGCTTTTCAAAGGAGCAACCTTTCGTTTTATATAATTATAATTAATATTAGTTATTGTCCGTGGAGGTAATGATCAATTAAAGCGTTGTAAAAGGTGAGGTTTAATGAGTGCACGAGAGCGAATAATTTATGGGTAGCAAGCAACGCGTGCAAATTATGAGTCTTCTACCAAATAGTAGATAATGTATTCGAAACGTGCGAAGCAGCACGATTTGCATGAACGTCCATGCATAATAACTGATATCTCAAAACTACAAGCTTTAACTTATATCACGTTCTTTCATTTTTTTCCTATTTTACAAAGAAGGAAATTCGATACGCGTGAAAATGTCTTCTGACGCGAACTGTCGCAAACTTAAATCCGGTATTTCCGATGAATATCGCGTTGCCCCGATAGTACTTTCCTTCAGCGGGACCGCAGATAAATCCAATTGGATCTACCTAAGGGAAATTGCGTTTCTTAGTCCCCCTCTCATTGTCAGTTCGTTGAAATTCGATTTTCCATCGACGGGAGCTATTGGACATCGGGTTTTTTTTTTTATAAAGAAACCAATGCAAAAACTATGGAAAAATGAACGGTATGATACTATCGGATAATCCTTTTTTTTGAATCGGGTTGCTATTCGATTATATTCGTCTTTCAAGCCATGACACTTTCAATGGACTCGACGTTCGACAATGGACTCGCCGTCTACCGTTGAGTGAAAGATACGACAAATATTTGTAACATTTTTCTAAGGAAAACGATCGGAATTTGCAAAGAATGTGAATGTCAGGGTTGCGTAGACGAGGCTCGATTAAATTACCTATTAAATCGAGATTAGTCCGAGGAAATGGAAGAGGCAAAGAAAATTTCATCGATCGTCTAACGCTTTCGATCTAAACTTTCTTCAAGAAAATTATCGTAGGGTTTCAAAATCGGTTTTCCAATGTAATTACTCTAGTCTTGTTTGTTTTATTAAAACTTTGCGATGTCCTTTAGTCGAAGGTTTGCACGAACTCGCCTTGTTTCTAACTCGAGTCTACAAGGCATCGACTTTTCTTCCCTTAAATTATTACTCGAGGCTCGAACTTTTCCTATTTAAAAGGCGAGAACAAAACTAAAAGAACAAAAATAAAACGCAATAAAACGTGCTTTTTATTTTCCTTTTTTCCAGTGTCTTCCGTAAAACAATACCTTTGATAAGGGACGAGTGACGATTAATCGTATTTTACAACAATCTCCGAATCGTACAACATATATTAGATACATGCTATAAAGAGTAACTTATATTTCGCGATTGTTCAATCATTCAATGTCGTCTTCCTCAAGCGAAACATAACAAGGTAAAAGAAGCACGCGATAAATAGTTTCAAATATACAGTGACAATCTATAATAAAGTCAAAAGAAACACGAATGAGAAAATGACGAGTGTTGGAAGATAAGAAGAGGAGGGAAGGAAGGAAGGAAGGGGTGAAGATGCGAGACGCTAAGATTTTATCGGCGATGATGATCCTTCCACTTCTCGGGACGCTAGTCGTCTCGGGAGTGCAAACTTGGGGATCGTCGATCGGTCAAAATGAAATTCGTGAGAGATCGATCGAAGAAAATGTCGAGAAAACTGGTCATTTACCGAATTTGACAATCGGTTTGGTGGTGCCCCATACGAATTTCAATGCTCGCGAGTATACGAAAACGATCAATCGAGTGGTCAATAATCTTCGTAAGGGTCACACAGGAAGAAACAAGGGTCATGGGAGATTCACGTTTTTCGACAAGTACGCGTTCACCCAGCACCATGTCAAGAGTACTATGCTGAGACTCACGCCAAGTCCTACAGGTAAAAATTACAAATGAAATACCAACACGTTAAAGGTAATCGTTCGCGTGAAATGTAACGAAAGATAATTCAAGTACTTCTCTCATTTTTTTCTAATCCTTTCTCTCTTAATTCCTCTTTTATTTTTTCTTCCTTTTCCTTCTGTAACTTTTTCTCTCTTTGTCGCGGATAATGAAAGTTCGAACAGGAAGTACTCGGTTTTTTTTCTCTTATCTCGTGGCATATCCGAAAGATCTTCTGACCAGCCAATATTTCAGGCTTAACTCATACCAAAGCGCTCTCGACGTTACCGAGTTTGCGTCCCTGTGTTTATTTATACGCTCGAGTTACTGTCACCCAGTATATACACCAGATGAAATTCCCCTGTAAATTTCATCCCTCCTCTCCTTCATTCTCCATTCCTCTTTCTCTCTCTCTCTTTCTCTCTCTCTCTCTCTCTCTCTCTCTCTCTCTCTCAACATCCAAGTTTGCGTTTAACGCACGAGTATATGGATGCGCGCCAGTGGTCAATTCGAAATTGAATTTCCTTCCATCTTCCTTCTATTTTTCTAGTTTCTCTTTCTCCCTTTGTTTCCCAATGTATTGCGTTTGCTTGACCATTTTTATTTTCTTATAGAACGACGGGATTAGTATGTACAATGCTTTTACATCGACAAATTAGGAACGCACGATCGAGAAATCGTTCGACTGTATCTGACCGATACACCCTTCCAAGTACGTTCAAAATAGATACTTTATTACATCGAATATAATCTTTTCTACTCTCCCTGTCTCTTCTTTCTCTTCGTCAGCCGAACCTATGATGTCGAAATTGCTTTCACGGTTTAAGGCATGAAAGCTTTGCCAAAGAAATCAACACGAAACAACATTTGCACGAGAAATTTGTCTATCTTCAAATTCTTTTTTCTTTCCTCAATGAGTTGAGCAGGGATTTAGAAGAGCGACAGAAATTAAGTTTTACGAGCAGGTATTTAATGCAAAATACTGAAGCACCGAGAAGGAAAATCGGCTTGGAAAAACAAAACTTTTGGGAAACTCTTCGACTCGTCTTGTTTGGTTTTGTCTTTTGGTTTTGTCACGGCACGGCACGGCACGACTCTTATCACTCGACAATTACGATTAAATAATGCATTATTATAAGCACGAAAAGTTGAAATTTTCATCCATCGATATTTTCTTCCTCGCGTATGCAAGGATTACTCTCCCTTTTCGAGTAAAAAAGGGAGGAACGAACTACGGAATCTCGTTATGGTATGCATTTTTGATGGGGACATAAGAAAGAGGGAAGGACGAGAAGAAAGCAACGGCGGGAGTATTCGTTTGTAAAAAAAAGGTGAGAGACGAAAATAGACAAGTGGACCGAAGAAAAAGTTCGGAGTAACGATCGATAAAGTTTCTTTTGCTTATCGAGAAGTGTGTAGTGGAATAACGTAAACTCGGATGGAACATAGATAACTGAGAAGAACCAATCTACCTACCTATCAACCTATCTACCAACGATGTCGCGTATTCGTTTTTGAAAATCTCTCGAGTATCATCTTCGATCCGTTATCGATCGAACGAGGAATCGTTTAAGTACTGCGTATGCAAGCAAGTACTTACGGAAAGAAACTAAAGGGAAAAGAGAACGTTGGCAAAACGTTGGAGTCGAACGTGGAAAAGAGGTCACTCGGTCATCGCATTCGTGCCCTACGTTCGAGACCCTGGATATCGAACTAGTTTCTTCGCTGAAGCTTTCTGAGCGCTAGCTATTTTCTTTTTCTTTTTCTTCTTTTGCTTTTTCCTTTTTCATTTTATTTTCTTCCTTATATTTTTCTTTCCTTTTTCTCTCAATTGCGAGAGAAAGTTTTTCGAGTAACACGCGTGGAAGTAAGGAAAAGCTCGTAAAATCATTTTACAATTGGATGCTAGAATCGAGTGTGAATTTCTGTTACAGCAATACTGAATTCCCTCTGCAAGGATTTCTTGTCGTTGAACGTATCGGCTATTTTATATCTGATGAATTACGAACAATACGGTCGTAGTACGGCCAGCGCTCAGTATTTTCTTCAATTGGCCGGTTATCTAGGGATTCCCGTTATTGCTTGGAATGCCGATAATTCTGGCCTCGAAAGGGTAAGTAGTTCTCTCTCTCTCTCTCTCTCTCTCTCACTCTCACTCTGGTCATCCATCACTATCCATATATATATATATCTCCATGTCTGTTTATTTCAGCGAGCCTCGCAGAGTAATCTGCAACTACAGTTGGCCCCTTCGTTAGAGCATCAAACGGCTGCTATGTTGAGTATCATGGAGAGATACAAGTGGCATCAGTTCAGTATAGTTACGTCGCAAATCGCCGGTCACGACGATTTTATTCAGGCGATAAGAGAACGAATTTCCGAGATGCAAGATAGATTCAAGTTTAACATATTGACCACGATACAGTTTACGGATCCGACAGATATCATAGAGTTGGTAAACAGCGAGTCAAGGGTTATGCTTCTCTATTCGACTAGAGAAGAGGCAACGCGAATACTCAAGGCAGCGCAAGATTACAAAATCACTGGAGAGAATTACGTTTGGATCGTCACCCAAAGCGTCATCGAAAACCTTCAATTTGCCAGTCAGTTCCCGGTTGGAATGCTCGGTAAATAAGAATATCTTTTACTAGTTTCTTCGTACGAAACTTTTCCCATCGTTTTCTTGGAAACGGTTAAGTATTGGGATCTTACCGCGTACGATGGTTTAACGATCAGCATCCGTAATCTTTTCATCTCTTTTTTTCGTCTGCATTCGTATTCGAAGGCGTGCACTTCGACACGAGCAGCGAGAGCCTCATCAACGAAATCAATACGGCTGTCAAAGTTTATGCCAATGCTGTAGAAGACTTTGTAAACGATCCCGAGAACGCGAACCGCAGTTTGGATACTCAACTGAGTTGCGAGGGAGCCGGAGAAGCTCGATGGAAAACGGGCGACTTATTTTTTAAGTAATCCTTCGATATCTGCTAAGCACGTATCCTATGTTTATTTAGAAAGAAGAGGATGGCTCATGCTAAACTTTTGTAACGTAGATATTTGAAGAACGTGTCGGTGGAGGGTGATCAAGGAAAGCCAAACATTCAGTTCACTCAAGACGGTGTTCTCAAAGCTGCAGAATTGAAGATTATGAATCTTCGACCTGGACTTAGTCGGCAACTCGTTTGGGAGGAGGTACGTACTCATGGAATATACTTTTATTAGTAATTTAATCGGGCTAATCATCTACGAAAAGTTTTGTTTCTAACGATGTAGGCAGAAACGTACAATTAAAGGAATCAAGCATTTTTCTGCATTCGCTACGAAGTTAAGTTGTAATACAATTTAGCTCGAAAGGATGGAAATAAAAAAGGGGTTTTGAGAGAGAGAGAGAGAGAGAGAGAGAGAATGCAAAACTAGGCAAGTGCATGTGCGCAGGTGCTGGCAGCTTTCTATTTACATGAATTCTCAGTACCGTTAATTCGACCCTTTCGTTCGCTTAAACACATTACTCCGAGTGCTCGGGAAATCCTGGCGATAAATTCATCTGTTTGTGTGTGCGTGGGCATGAAGGAAAATGAAAGAGAGAGAGAGAGAGAGAGAGAGAGAGAGAGAGAGAAAAGGGAAAAAACATAGGAAGGATTCTCATTGTTCTAGTCGTAGAAAAAACCTATTAGAAAAAGAAATGCATGAGGGTAAAAACAGTGAACGCGTAGGTGGGTACCACCTATATCTATGCTCGAACATTGATTGAATGCGATTTTTCGCATATTGATAGCGAATGAAAGAGAAATAGAGATAGAGATAGAGATGGGGATAAGGGGTGAGAGAGATATCTTGAAACAAAGGGATATGTTCCTAAAGAGAAAAAGCAATGCGAATGCCGCAGCTTTGCAACGTTATAAAGGAACAATGGGCTAGAGCATTTTGTTCTGTCGCGGACAAAAAAGGGTGAGAAATTTTCCCCTTGGAATCTATACTTTTTACACTAGATTCCTTTTTATGGATACATTACACAGGTTGATAGAAAAATGACCTGCAATTGTATTGCATTGCAAGAAAGAAATTGCAAATACCTTGGAACTTATCGATTTGATCGAATAAGCATTATCGGCTTCTCCAAAAACACGAATAGCATTGAGAGGTGCGCGGATATCAATCTCCTAACGGAAAGCCGCAAGCACCCTTCGTTTCGTTTCTAATTAGATCCTCGTGCAGGGTTGACATCAATGAGAATTATATCAACGTTCTACTCTCTCGTTTGATGGCCACTAAACGCGTTCCTATCGATTCTACGTCGAGAGAATTTTATTGCTGCTCTTTACGCGTCGATGAAATTAGGGAGAATCATTATGAACACTTTATCTTTCTATTCACTCATTTATTTTCTACGAGAGGAACAAAATGTTCCAATGCATTTTTCACACTTTTAAAATTTGCACACGTTCAATTATAATTTTAATTCGTATCCCGTTGTTTCTGTTTGTTATTTTCTGGACCATTCTTTAATTAAAAATAATTCATTTTTTATTGTTCGGTTATTTTTTTTGGAAAGAACAAATATTTTTCCTTTGATGCGGCCAATTCGATGTCGATAAAATGATACGCGTAAAACGCGAATAATGGGATAGGCACACCGGTGTGGAACTTTGCGAGTTTTGTGTGTCAAGCATGAAACGCGCGCTAATCGTGCAAGGTCGAGGCTAGTAATTAATCGGTTATCGGAAATAGCGGACGCTTCGATATTCTCTCTCTCTCTTTCTTGTTCAATACACCGAGGGTGAGAGAGTTAGTACGCGTTTGCACGTCGAACGTTGCCTAGTATGGACGTCTAATTAGCAGAATTGTTCGAATTGCGAACGAGAGAGAATATCTCTTGTTCTACAGAATATTATTCGCTAATTACGAAAGCATTTCGTCGATCTTCATCGTCATCGTCTTCGTCGGCATCATAGTCGTCGTTTTCGCTTTTTACTTTTCCTATCGAAAAATAGGTGAAACGACTTGAAGAACTAAATCGTTGGTCTTTTCTATCGCGTGAGAATGAATATTTACGAGACTATTAGAACTCAGTTTGCTCCTATGGGTCTCCTCACATTTCTGAAAATTCATGGATTCTACCTTGGTGAGTTAATGTTAGGTTGGAATAAATGCACGAATATCGTCTGTTTATCTTCAAAGTGGAAGAGGGAGCTTACGATGATTTTAAGATCTTTGCAGTCATCCGAAAGAAAAATCGAGATAGATAGATAGAGAGAGAGAGAGAGAGAGAGAGAGAGATATAGAGATATAGAGATTAGAGGTCCATTCGAATTTTCATTGAAGGACAAGCTACGAATAATAGAGGCCATTAATTTTGCAAAAGTTTAGTTCGTGTCGCGATGAACTGTCATCCGAGAAAGTAGTGAAAAGTTTGAAAGCCGTTCCCTTTCGATAAACGAACTTTAGATAAAAATCGGCAGACTTTGATGGATCGAAGCAAAGTGAAGAGTAGTAGTTAGACGATGACGGTGTTCTAATCTCATTGAAGATGTAATTAAAACGTCGTAGTGAAGGCCGGGTAAATAGGAAAATTCAATGTTTCGTCGCGGTAACCTCCATAAAATACATAGTCACTTTTCCTTCCTTTAGCAGATGGGCGTCGACGCTCTTAATTACGTTCTCGTCATGTTCGACGTTATTTCGATTAATCCGTACTCGCGCGTCCACTATCCCTTGACGTTTCTTTCCGTTCTCTTTTCGTCGCTATTCTACAAAATGAAATACCAAAACTTATATAAGCTTTCATTTTCGCGTGTAAACGCGAAAGAAGATCCTCCTTCCTACTTTCCATATTATCACTATTATCGCGCTCGGCTTTTTTTATTTTTTTTATTTTTTCTCATATAGAGGAGGCGTTGGTTGTGCTGCTAAAATCTCTTTTAGCGAACGTCCGTCAACTTGGTGTCAGTGCCTAAATGAAAAAAATTCACGCTCGATGAAATGTATTCGTGTGTGTGTGTATGCTCGTACATCCTAGCGTATATAATCGTGTACAGAAAGAGAGAGGGTTGGGAAAAAAGTCTCGCGAGGGTGGCAACATGCGTGTTCATGAATTTTCATGACGAAACATTCTACCTCGTCGAATTTCAAGGAATATCGACTTCCAATAAGCGTGTGTCGAACGATCGCGTTGCGTCCGACGAAGGAATAAGAGAGGACAACGCGATCCACTCTATTTCGCATATTCAAGGCTTTAGTCGTTTGAACTATGAGTCGGCAATGATAATATCGATTAGCGTAAGCTTCGTCAAACGTCAAATTTCAAACTGTTGGGGATGGCTATCTATCCTTTCTTAATCCGAGATTCACACGCAAAATCCTCTTACAAGAGGAGGTTCCTTTGATTTGGGACCAAGCGACTGCCATTTAACCTTTCTAGTAAAATCTACTATAGTATCTACGATATTGCAATCTGATGGTCGTATATACACGTTTAATTACGTCCACGTGTACGACTTGATTTTTGTTTTTTGATTGCCAGTATAAATTACATACATATACCGTATTTCATTAATTATCTCGACGGGATGAGAGCTTCGTTGAGCCTTTAATCTTCTTTTCCTTTGTTTTTCTTTTTTCCTTTTCTCTGTCGACAGATTGGCGTGTGGAAGTCTTGGAAAAAAGAAGGATTGGACATAAAGGACATCGTCTGGCCGGGTAACACGCACACGCCACCTCAAGGAGTACCGGAAAAGTTTAATCTGAAGATAACGTTTCTCGAGGAACCACCGTACATCAATCTCGCCCCACCCGATCCCGTCAGCGGGAAATGCTTAATGGATCGTGGTGTTCACTGTCGAGTAGCCAAGGAATCGGAGTTTACCGAGTAAGTGAAAACAATCTTATCAAAGTTTTACTCTTGTTTTTTCTTTTAATTTTGATCTTTTCAAGATAATGAAAAATGAAATGCTATTGAAAATGTAAAAGGCGAATATTTTCTCTTTTGAGCAATCCAAGATCCCTCAGGTCAATCGAGACCGTCCGATGCACATAGGGTTTAACGTGCAAGGGCTTTTTTAAATATTTCAAGAGGCTAGTTGTTTCTCTCCTAACTCTACCAACTTGCTAAACGTAGCTAAAGAGAGTTAGGGCTTGTAGTAGTTTATGCAAAATTAAGGTGAAAGCGGAGGAGGCCTTTGAGAACGATTCGAGCGCGGGAAAAGGAAGGGGGTTAGGGTTTGAACGTAATAATAGCGAAAGAGGATCAAGTAACCGACTAACGAGTCCATCGGAAAGAATATCTTCAAAATTCCAAGCAAAATGATGATTGAAAAAAAGACAAGTAAAATTGATTAACACTCGTGAAAAAAACATCGATACAATTTAAATTCAACCTAATGGGGATTCGAACTTCCTCTCTCACAGTTAGTTTGTTATTTTTCCGTTTGTTATACGAACGAGAGCCTAGTACATACATAGAGACACCAAACATCGAAATCGACGTTATTTCATTTTCCTCCGTTGGAAGTAATTTTGACGCACGGTTTTTCGTTAGATAAACGAGTACAAATATTTCCATCGAAACGATGTAACCTGCACTATATGTACATTTATGTATATGTATGTTTCTCCCTGGAGACAGAATTTATAACATACGTTAATATATATTACATGCACGTTATACTATGCAAACGAAAAAAGGGAAAACTTTTTTTCAAGAAAATCGAATACCGATGATTTACTTTCCTTTTTCTTCTTTTTCTCGTCCGGAAAAACGCAAGGAATGGAGAAAAGCAAACGAACGATTTTATTTTCTTTCTTTTCTTTCCCAAATAAGCGGCATCCCACAGGAATCGACAACGGTTGCCTCGTAAGTTAGGGGAGTCAACCCCAGGCGAGTAATCCACATGACAGAGGAACTTCCCTAAGCGCGTTTAAGGGCTGTACATTTGCCAGTATCGTCCCCGTACATTAACCTGCAAACCAGAAGCTTTATTCTTTATCCTTTCGCATATCTAGTTCTCTTTCCTTTTCGTTTATGCAATTTAACGTTCTAATAGCAAAGACAAATCTTTTCTTATCTACAACAAATGGAATGCATTTTCGGTAAATCCTCAAACGGATTTAACCATATCCTTCGTGAATCCTTCCTTTTAAAGGATTCTTGTAAGCATTACAAACAGAGTACACACACATATACATACTTGAAGTATTATTCGTATAATTATGAATCTATTAACCGACACTTGATTAATTATGAATTATTTGTAGTCTTTCCTATCATCGAGTCCGACGAGTGTTCCCTTTGGTATCGTACGCCAAATATTTATTGCTTTCCTCGATATAAGTTTTGACCATTTAACGAAACGACACATTTTTCTCGTATTCGACCATTTCTTTTTTATTTACGAGTGTCCTATGAGCAGCAATAAACGTCCGTATGGATCTTTACGCGTCTCTATCCTTTGCTACTGTTGCTGGTTTGCCAATGGATCCGCTGTAATTCGAGCGATACTACCCGATGCAAATATAAGCTTTAAATCATCCTCTTTACTCTCCACCTATTCCTTTTTTCTTTTTTTTTCCTCCATTCCCTTTTCAAGTATAACTGCCGTATACTTTTCTTTCGCGTTATCGTGCCTTTTACTACGAGTAATGGCTTTTGCTACTTCGCCTCTAAATAAGTACCTACTTACGTATCTGTACGCAGATATAGCAACATTCGTTAAGCGCTATACAACAAATTACTTCTTGGTGAACAACTTTCTTCTTATTCTGCTTCTATTTTTTTTTTCCTCTAAAACTTTGTACCTTTCAAGAGTAGAATTTTTGATGTAGCGATTGAAATAACAAAGTTACCGATAAATTTTACAATAAAGAGATGTAATGCGTTTTGCCTATAATACATTCAGTACAACACATTTTAGATAAAATATTGATACGACGATAAATTTGACTCGTTTCAGGGTGGACATTCAATCGGCACAAAAAAATGATAGTTTCTTTCAATGCTGCAGCGGATTTTGCATAGATCTGTTGCAAAAATTTTCCGAAGAGATAGGGTTCACCTACGAATTGGTCAGAGTGGAGGATGGCAAATGGGGTACACTTGAGGTAGTAAATTTGAAAAATAATGCCGTTTAAGAAAACGACGACAACGACGCGCGCGATAAAATATTTCAAATTGTTCCATCTGAAAGAAACTTTCTTTCTCCATGCAGAACGGAAAGTGGAACGGCCTTATAGCGGATTTGGTAAACCGGAAAACAGACATGGTAATGACGTCCTTGATGATAAATTCCGAAAGAGAGGCCTTCGTGGATTTTACCGTTCCTTACATGGAAACTGGAATAGCCATCGTCGTTGCAAAACGTACTGGGATAATATCACCCACTGCTTTCTTGGGTGAGTTTCTTTTTTTTTGGGAGGGGTTTTTTTGGAAAGAAAAACAAAAACACGCATAAATACTTTCAGAGCCATTCGACACGGCTTCCTGGATGTTAGTGGGAATCGTTGCGATCCACACCGCGACGGTAATGATACTCCTTTTCGAGTGGCTGTCACCATCCGGTTTCAACATGAAGGTAAAACCTTCAGTCGCTGCGCGGAAACTGGTACCTTTTATTTCTGCTTCTTACTTTATTCTTATTATTATTATAATATATTTTTTCTATTTACATCATTTCGCACCAACACTCTCTCTCTCTCTCTCTATTTCTCTTTTTCTCTGTCTGTCTATTTTTTAAAGTCGTCTCTCGCACATCAATGTGACTCTCATAGTCAACGTTGTGGAAATAATTCGTGCATATCTATGATTAATTAGTGTGTATGGCTGTATGTTTCTTTTCGCATGTACCTACATATATTATATACACTTTAATCACCATTATTATTATTATTATTATTATTATTATTATTATTATTATTATTATTATTATTATTATTATTTAATATTATTGTTATCGTAAAGAAAGAAAAACAAGATATGACTATTTTGCACGCTTGCCGCATTTATTTTTCTTCCTGAACGCAAATATTCGCACGAATGAAAAATATTTTCTTTTGGTTATTTCAAATATGTAGACAAATCCATCGCCGAATCATCGGTTTTCGTTTTGTCGCACATACTGGCTGGTCTGGGCAGTACTCTTCCAAGCAGCGGTTCATATCGATTCTCCCAGAGGATTTACAGCCAGGTTAGCGAACCTACAAATAATCGAGATCATTTAGTATCGATCCGTTGGAGCGATTAAACGAACCCAATTACTTAAACAGATTCATGACGAACGTTTGGGCGCTATTCGCTGTAGTCTTCCTAGCCATTTACACTGCCAACTTGGCTGCCTTTATGATAACGAGGGAAGAGTTTCACGAGTTCACCGGTGTCGACGATCATCGACTGGCCAGACCGTGGTCGCACAAGCCTATGTTTAAATTTGGCACCATACCATGGAGTCACACCGATAGTACGCTGGCCAAATATTTTAAGGAGATGCACACTTACATGAAGGCCTTTAACAAGAGCAGCGTTGCCGAGGGAATCGAGGCTGTCATAAGCGGGTAAGTTCGAAAAAACATCTCAACGCAAACTTCTTCTTACAAATATACTTTAGCAAGTTTATCGTAGAGAAACTTTTTCCTCTTTCGTTATCCTCCTATAGAATATCTATGAAATGTTTGAAAAATGTTTTTGTCGCGCAGCGAAATGGACGCGTTTATATACGATGGAACAGTCCTCGACTATTTAGTTGCTCAAGACGAAGATTGCAGGCTTCTCACGGTTGGATCTTGGTACGCCATGACGGGATACGGTTTGGCATTTTCACGAAATTCAAAGTATTTGCAAATGTTCAATAAACATTTGCTCGACTTTCGGGACAACGGTAAGAAATCATTTAAATTATAATATTATTAGGACGACTATATATATAAGTTACTCGACGACAAACAGGTGATCTGGAACGTTTGAGACGTTTTTGGATGACGGGCACTTGTAAGCCGGGAAAAGAAGTTCAGAAAAGTAGCGATCCCCTTGCGCTTGAACAATTTTTAAGCGCTTTCCTATTGTTGATGATGGGAATCCTTTTGGCAGCCGTTTTTCTTCTTCTCGAACATCTCTATTTCAAATACGTGAGACAGCATTTGGCTAAAAGCGATGGCGGTGGATGTTGCGCTCTATTCAGCTTGGTAATTTCTTCCATCTTGTATTTAGTTGTAAAATAGTAGACGACGAATTAAGGACTTGAGCCGAACTAAACCGCGACGAATATTAACTTTGCAGAGCATGGGAAAATCTTTGACTTTTCGCGGTGCGGTCTACGAGGCGCAGGACATACTCAGACATCACAGATGCAGAGATCCAATTTGCGACACTCACTTGTGGAAAGTGAAGCACGAGTTGGACATGGCCAGGATCAGAATACGACAACTCGAGAAGGATCTCGAGGCGCATGGAATAAAGCCCAGTCAGACCAAGTACGTCTTATGTTGCTACCATCTAGTTTTACCTAACTTGATTCTCTCTATCTATCTATCTATCTATCTATCTATCTATTTCTATTTCTATCTTATTCCGTCTACCCTAAGAAGGAAAATCCACTCGGCAGTTACCCGCATCGAGTATTTGCATTGCGATTGAGCAAGGACTCTTCCAACGAACGAGTCGAGTAGATCCTTCCCACGCTTCGGTCCGTTTAGATCTTTCTCTTTCTCTCTCTCTCTGGGTTCATCTATCTATTTATCTATCTATCTCTCTTTGCTATCCAATCCTCTCCTCCTGCCTTGCTTGGTTATGGTCCAGGAAGCTCACCGCTTCTGATCGCATTCCGAACAAAAGCTTTCGTTGTCGAATCCCGCAAAATTCCTTCTTTCATTCGCACTCGACGATCGGTTGACCTTTCCTTTTATCTTCCTTCAATTCTCTATTGCTTTTCCCTTTTCCGATTTTAATGGTTTCTACGTTTTCTCGAGTATGCTCTACTTACATACGTGCTCTTTCTATTATACTCATATATTATACAGAAAAGGTCGATCGACATCTATTTTATTCCCTTTTACTTTTATCTTATTTCCTATCATTTTGTTTTTCTTTTGCTTTCTACTAATATTACTCTCTATTACATTTCTTTTCTGTTTTTATTATTTTGTTTTTCCGCAGAACGATACTCGCAAGCTTTTTATCTATCTATCAATCTATCGAAAATATATGGAATATTTGCTCTAAGTGCTTTATATATATATATATATATATATACTTGATTCCCGTATATCATCTAAGCATGTAAGCTCATATAGTCGAATTGATTCTATCTTGTTTCTAGCCCGAGAGTTGAAAATGAAAGAAAAGAAAAAATATATATAAAACACAATATGTATATTATACATAATAATACTCTCTCATGTCACTCTTTTGCTCAATACTTAGCTCGCACCAGCATGCACGCGCGTATTTTCCAATATCACCGATTTTTTTAATCGAGTATGTACACATGTATATACTTACACTTGTCTTTTTACGTACTCGTTTTGAAATGCATAAGAAAATAACAAAAAAAGAAAGACGCGTGGCTTTTTAGCGTTAAATGAGAAAGAATCAAAATGAGAAAAGAACAATTTTCAAGGAATATAAATGATAGGAAGAAAATGTTTCTTCGCTAAGTTAACTTTCTTTCAAAAAATTTTATCGGGAATGAGAATCAGTATTAAATTATTCTTTTCGTTATAGAAAATTAATAGAATCGAAGTCCAGAGTTCGGATGTTATCGATGAAACAACGAAGATTTCAAGAGAGCGAAAGAAAGAAATAACTTGAAAATGGAAAAGAATTCGATGAGGTATAACGGGAGGGGGTGGAGGTAAATGGTAATGTGAAATATAAAAGAATAATGCCTTGTCTACTCGCGATCCAAAAACTTTTCTTACGTGGATAGTTTGAAAAAGGGTAAGCGTTTATTCGTGTTAGTCCATCGAATCTGAGGTGGGGGTTATTTTAATCGCGTTCATACTTTTCGTTTGTTAAAATATAAATGGGAAATTTCGCGGAAGGAAATAATTTTTCGTATATCGCTCTATAAAGAGAGAAATAAAATCTAAAAAGGAGAAGTTTGATAGGGTTAAACAAAATGATAAAATCAATTACGCGTATCGGAAGAAAAGTAAGAAAGTAGCGCGAATCGTTTCGTTTCATTTCTCAAAGAACTAAAAAAAAAACTTTTATCGTCGAAGTTAACTTCGCGTGTCGCAAAACGATAGCAAAAGATATTGTAAAGGAATCGACGAGGACATAACGTTGCTTTCTCTGATGATGATGGTGATGATGATGATGATGATGATGATGATGATGATGATGATGATGATGATGATGATGATGATGATGATGATGATGATGATGATGATGATNTGATGATGATGATGATGATGATGATGATGATGATGATGATGATGATGATGATGATGATGATGATGATGATGATGATGATGATGGTTATGATGATGATGGAAAGAGACCTAACGAAATATCTTGGCACATATCCTGGCACGTCGGCTTTTTTAAAGGAGGAAAACCGGAAGTCTGGCCTGGTGGCGAGGATGCTTTCAAAGTTCGGAGCGGCAGCGACATCCGGAACCATTGACGGTCGAACCGCCGCATCCGCTACCGCCATACATCGATTCGTAAGTCCGCTCTACGAAAACAACAACAACAAAAACAACAACAACAACAACAATAACAACAAAAAAGTAAAAAAGAAAAATGATAAGAAACTCTCAAAAATATAATATTAAAAAGAAATCGAAAAATGTTACGATTCTAAGGTCACGTAAAGTGACGTAGGAACCTTTCACAAAACTTCTTTTTTTTTTTTACTTTTTTCAAAATCACCGCTTTGTCCGAGTTAACCGAATATCGGATAAGGACAGTTCCTACGTTACCAACGACGAGTCTCGGACGTGCGTCGCGAACACGAGATTATTTCTTTTATTGAAGTGAAAACTTCTTTAGAATAGTGGCGACTTGAAAATGGATGCGACGAAAAAGCGACAGGTAGCCATAAATAAAATAAACAAACTCGATGAAACAAAAAGACCAGCTATGTTAGTAAGAAGAGAGACGACAAACATCTATAGGATATAGCATAAGAGAGAATGAGATAAAATATACTATGTAGTTTTTCCTATTCTCGATCTCTTCTTCGTTAAAGTTAAATTTTTATAATTATTTATAAAAACATTGCGCCTCTAGGAATGCAACCCCCCAGACAACGTTTGAAAATGTTGTTTGCGAGCGACATCTGTTAAGACGGAATTTTTTTCTGCCCGAAAGATAGGCAACCCGTAATACACACGTGTACGAACAGTTTGGGCTGAAAAAAATGCCGTCCCAGCAGATGTCGCTCATAAGCAACATTTTCAAAGTGTGTCTGGAGGGCTGCATGCCTACAGGCGCACATTTTTATAATTATAAAATAAATAGATAATATTATATAATAAATTATCCTACTCCTGATACTATGCACTCGTCTCATTCTCTCGAAAGTTGCTTTTTTGAAGGTTTCACTTCTAATTTTTTTTTTAAATGAAATATCCAGTCTAATGAACAAAAGATTTAAAATTTGTTTTTGACGAGGATTTACAAGACAATTTGAACGCGTCCTCCGAGACTCGAAGGATGGCGCGGGCACAGTAAAAAATATGAAAAAAGAAAAAAAAAGAAAGCCCGAATCGTAGATTAGCTGCTTCGCTTGTAGATTGTTAGATCTTGTGCGTATATGCATTCGAATTTTTATCTCATATATACACATATAAATATACTCACACTTTCTCATATATTTGTACTTTATCACAAAACTATCTATACTTTTACACTTCGATGTGCTCGTAAAGCATGAGGCATGCTAGTTAAAAATGACAAATTCGAGAAATCGGAGATAGAGTAGATAATAAAGGGTTGGTTCTTGTTATGGGCCAACTCTAATCTATGTCGGTCTATTCATTGAACGGAACAAAGATGTATCATCTTATTCGTTGGACTGTGAAATTGGTATTTCTGTGTGCGAGCGTGCGTGAGAAAAAAAGTAAGAAGAAAAATGGAAAAAAGAAAAAAAGAAAAAAAGAAAAAAAGAAAAAAAAACAAACAAAAAGAACATTTATTACGCATCGAAGATTTCAACGAGGACGTGCGTTTTCTCCTCTCACTTTTGTCATCATTTTTTACCTAGATTCATCGACGCGGTCGAAGTTGCCAGGCCGAGAGATATGAGCACCAACCATGTTGTAAGCACTGAATACGCGGGAACGTTTTTACCTACGGAGATTTACAGGTTGGTCATTCGTCGAGTCTTTTCTCTTCTTCCTTTTCTATTTCATTTTCTCTATTAATCTTTTGAACTTTTATGTCATACTAAAGTATTAAATATTATATAACATAATTATGATACATCATTTTTCTTTTGCCCCAGTCTTTCATTTCACTCTTTGCTTTTTATTTTATTTTAGAATTCCGGGCACGGAAGGGGTAAGAACGGAAATTGCAGAGATGGAAACAGTTCTGTGATCGTAAGAGGATCGGCCTAGATCGCCCAGATGTTAAAAATCAATTGAAGGAAGCAAGCAACCAACCAACCAAGCGAGGAGTTCAGAGGAAAAGAGAGAGAGAAAAAGATGTTTTCTTATTTTTTTGTCGATAAAAATAAGAACAAAAATTCCGTCGAATCCAGCACGAGTTTCGAATTGCTTCCTTACTACCTTCTGCCATCGCGGAATCACGGACGACCAGTTTTTTCGTCTCTCTTGCGAAGGTTAATCCAAAAGATTTTTCCAAATCTCGAAGCTCCTTCGCAAACAGCAGCAGGAGAACACTTTCAATTTTACAACGTTTTCTGCTTAATCTTAGGGAGAACAGTATCATGTATATGATATCAAAGAAAAAGAAATAAAATGAAAAAAAAGAGAGAGAGAACAGCACGATGAGGATAATGTTTGGGCAAGGTTCAGTGCCTAATTAGCTCGTCGTATTAGTTCACTGATAAAGATAAATAACGGAGGTCCATTTAAAACCTCTCTCATTCTTTATCACTCTCTTATAATTCTCTTTCTCTATTATTCTGTATTATATATATCACACACACGTATACACATCATACACACATACAGACACAGATACACACAGATATCTATCTAATATTTTTCTTTATGATTAAGTATCCTTCTATATCCCTTATCCTCTTTCTCATTCTCTTTCTCATTCTCTCTCTCTCTCTCTCTCTCTCTCTTTGTCTATCTTTTTCTATCCTTCTTTTTCTCTCTCTCTTCCATCCGGAGAAAGGAAATTTTCACGAAATCAAATACAGAGAGGTTGGAAAAAGAGGAAATGCGACGAGAATAAATTGCGAAAGCTTCGCAATAGAAATAATAATAAAAAAAAAAAAAACATTGGATGAAAATGAAAAATAATTGAATAGAAAAAGAAAAAAAAAAATGATTGTATGAAATATATTCTAACACGTACCGTGAAACGTACGAGCGACATTTTTCTCGGTCCTTTCTAAATTCAATTTGTGCCTACAAATATCGGTGGTGCGATACTAACGAAGGAGGAAGAAGAAATCCTATTGAAATATGGGTGGTTTTGGCTAATGACCGATTTTATTAGGAGAAGGAACAAATTAATTTTCTTTCCCCAACATCAATAACAAAATGAAACATAAAAAAAAGAACACGAAAGAAAATAAAAAGAAAAATACAAGGAAAAACGCAACGAAATTATTCTTCGATTTTCTCATTGTCCTTTCGTGTTTGTAATGGGCAAAAAATGTATTTGAGAGATATTCACGTAAGGAGGTGTGCTATTTAATAATTGTTGCGCGAGGGAAACTGAAATGAATAAATAAATATTATTATTATTATTATTATTATTATTATTATTATTATTATTATTATTATTATTATTATTATTATTATTATTATTATTATT